GGGTGTCATTATGTCAGTCTAAAGATTATTCTGCAAACAAGCAAACTAACAAGAAGACTTAGTACTCAACAGGGCATTGGAATTCTCCTTCACAGCACAGCAGCCAGTGATACAAATTGAGTTTCACCCCATGGAGCTGAAAAGTAGCTACTCTCAAAAAGCTGAATTTTAGCATTAAAAGATAGGGGTTGTCATGGTAGTTATAATAGGGACCCTCTTAGCACTATGCTCTTGTATCATGAGGCTCTGAGTCTTCATTCATCTGGATTCTGTTGCAAACACTTGAAGAAGTCACATAATTATATGCAGCTAAATATACATCTGAGATTTATTGAAAGTACAAGAGAACATGATAGTTCTCTAAGAAACATTAGGTTCTCCGAAGAAATCTTTGTAATTAGAGATGGATCTGATAATATGATGATTTTTTAATTTCATCAACAGGATATATTACTCTAGTTTCCATGCTCTGTCACGGACTTGGTTAGTTTATTTCTCTAGTGCCAAGTATGAAAATACATCCTGTAAGAAATACTTTGTTTTTGGAAGAATAGCTATTAATTCAAACCAAAGCATCTGGATATATGCATGGTAGCAAAAATACAAAATAAACAAAAACTATGAAAAGGCAAAATTAGCCTAAAAAAAAGTGGAAGTTAATGGGGGTTGGATATTAATAAATACGTTGCACAAGCAAAATGTTGAAAAATGATTTCTGATCTCTTACCCTTTGTTGACAGAAAATAAACAGGTAGACTATAGAGAGAACCAATTAATTAATTTTTTTTTCCCTGCTGATACGGACCTGTCTCTTCAAATTACGGGATTTGGGGTTTTGTTGTTGTTTTTTTTTTTTCCTTTTAGTACACCTCCTAATGTTTTCTTGGTGGTGGACATGATTTACTAGATAAGTGGAACTACTATAAATAGACCTTTAATAATATGACCATGAGACATGGGAGGAGAGAAGGTATTCTGTATAGTCCTGTGGTTAGGTCCCAGTCTTTTAGTGAGCCTGTCTCTGGACTGGGAACTTCGCAAGAGCTTCTGAGGTTTCTTCCTGCCTTGGGTAGGACAGGATGCTCCAGAATGGGCT